CGATCCCTGGTACTGATTAAAAAAAAAAAAAAAGAAAATCCATTATCCTAAAAATGACAAATATTCTGCCTAAGATTTGTTTCAGACCATTTAATATTTGTTTCAGAACATACTTACTGGTGGATCCCAATGAACGAGAAGAACGTGTAATGGATGGTTTGTTGGTGATTGCCATGAACAAGCATCGAGAAATCTGTACTATCCAGTCTAGTGGTGGAATAATGCTACTAAAAGATCAAGTTAGTGCTTTGACTGTGTCTTCAAAAAATAGGTCTCTTTAGAAGCCTTTTAGCTTTTAACCAGGAGCCACTGAAGATCTTTCAGTGACTGATTTCCAGGTTATGTTAGCACCTGGTTTCGGTACCATCATTACATTCTCTTGACAGGTAGCTGTAAAATAATCTTTTCCCTTCCTCACTGCTGCCATGTCTGGCCTTTCAGCTATGGGAACATTTTTTTCTTTCCTTATTTTTGTATTTGAAAGAAAAGGGTAGAAAAATAATTTCATGGTTTAATTTCATTAAAGGAAGAGTTTGTCATCCTTAGTAACAGAATTTGCTTTTATACATAGGTTTTGAGATGCAGTAAAATAGCTGGTGTGAAAGTAGCAGAAATTACTGAGCTTATACAGAAAGCTTTGGAGAACGACCAGAAAGTGAGGTAAGGTTTTCAAACCTAAATGATCTTTTTATACATTTTTACCAAGAACTTTCGTTGCACAAGAGTGACCATCATTTTCACATTTGGTCTCTGTTAATTTCATTCGCACGTACTACTTAGTGTGTTTTAAATAAAGTCTAATAGGCTGTATTGTAGTCCACTGTAAACATGACTTGTATTGAAAAGCCAAAAAAGATATTTTTGGGGGGGCTGGGGATTTAGCTCAGTCGCCTAAGTGCCTGCCTGGCAAGCACGAAGTCGTAAGTTTGATCCCTGGTACTGCAAAAAAAAAAAAAAAAAAGATATTTTTTTCTTAACATTTTCCTGAAAGTATCTGGTATAGAGTATAAGTAAGTTGATCCCCATTTCTGCTTCTTAGTGTATGATTGTAAGCAAGATACATAACCCAGCAACTAGTGTCGTTTTTTATCATAGGTAAGGTACATGCTATCTCAGAGGGATGATTTGAGGGTTAGATAATATACATACTTTAAGCATCTAGCACATGCCTGAGTAAACATTTCTCTTGATAGTCATAATAAATTGGTGAGGTTAAGTTAGTTAAACTAATTCAGTATTTCTCACTAAAGGCTAATATTTTTCCCCTTCCTGTCTTCGCTCTCATGTCATCGTTCGACGTACTCAACAAATAACAAAACCACATACAGGAAAGAAGGAGGAAAGTTTGGCTTTGCAGAATCTATAGCAAATCAAAGGATCACAACATTTAAAATGGAAAAAGCCCCCATTGATACTTCTGACGTTGAGGAGAAGGCCGAAGAAATCATTGCTGAAGCTGAACCTCCTTCAGAAGTGTATCTTTATTGGGTAGTCTTTGCAGTAACAGGATTTTAACATTTTGGGCTTTATCAGAGCTGTATACATTGGCATTCATTTTCTGAAATAGTATGTTAGACACTTTAAAAACTTAAGTGATGCAAGTCATATTAAGTTGGTGGTATTGTAATGTTCGGTTTCTCTTTAGTTGCACTGCAAAAACTAGGATACTTTGGGAACCTGTGGTACATGTGCAGGCTTGGCCTGTTACCACTGAAAACTCCCAAAGGTTTGCCACCATCAGCCAAGGACATGAGCAAGGCCTCAGGTTTAACCCTTAGCATGGCGAAAAGTTAAAAAAAAACTCAAAGCAGTAAAGCTTACAGCATTTTGTTTTCCTTCCAAAATTAATATTGATGGCATGGTTAAGAACTTATACACTGTAATACATTGCTGTATTTTTGTGATCATGGGCATCAAATCTTAGGCTTTGTACATTCTAAAGGCAGTCTACCAGTGAGTGTTACTTCTAGCCCCATTGTTAATTGAATAATTGAAAGTATTCTTTGACTAAATTTATTACTATAACTAGAACATCAGGGGCCTGTCTCTTGATTTTTTTTTTTTTCCTTTACCATTAATGGTATTTACTCTTTCCTGAGCTTTTTATTTTTCTTCATTGGATAGCCTTCTATAGTATAGCTGTATTACTTTATTTTTCCTTAAGAATTTGAGGAACACTTAATCACAAAGAATTGCTATTTTAAACAGTCTATTAAATAGCAGTGCTTTGTTCTTCAGTTTTCTTAACATGGTAAGTGTTTCTAAACCTATTCTCTGGACCTCTGGAACTGCCCAGATTGGAGAGGGAGTAGAAAACTCGTGGGGTGATCTTGAAGATTCTGAGAAAGATGAGGATGAAGGTGGCAGTGATGAAGCTGTCATTCTTGACAATATGAAAATGGACACTGGAGCAGAAGTTTCTGATATTGGAAGCCAAGGTCAGTGATGACTTCTACTAGCTTTTATGCAATTTGTTTTACAAAATATATCTACAGATAATGAATATCGTATACTAACTATATATGGCTACGTTAGAGATGTAAACATTGTAAACATTCCTATATATAGGAATATGCTTTCCTTTTCAGGGAGAGGTTAAATGTTTTATGATTTAAATTTCAACTAAATTAAAACTAGTATTGAGATTTTTGAAATTTTTTATGTTCATATCAAAATGTATGTTATAACACATAGTATTACAGAAGTTTTTGTAATATGAAATGTTTTCTACACTACAGTAGCCACTTGCCTTGTGTAACTGTTAAAACACCTGAAGGTGAGTTGGGTGATTAAGGAACTGAATTTTTATTTTTAAAAATTTATTTATTTCCTGGTACTGGAGATCGAACTCATGGCCTTGTGTTTGTCAGACAGGTGCTTATGCCGCTGAGCTAAATTCCTGGCCCCGAACTTTTAATTTTAGTATAAAATTAACTGCATGACGCTAGTGACTACCATATTACAGAGTACAGATTTGGGACTCACAAAATTCCCAAAATGCCTGGAATAATACCTGTTCTTGCTTGACCTGTATAGTAAAACCATTCATTCTTTTTTTGTAGTACAAACCAAACCAAGTGCAATCATCTTGGAACTAGGTTTTTTTGGAACTAGTCTGGCAAAAAACAAAAGGATACACTAAGTATGTTTCTGATTAAGAATATAATGCACATAGGCCTGCCTTCATGAAAGGGAATTATTGCTTATAAAGATTATGAAGAATTTTCTGAGTTTTGGTTTTGTTTTTGAAATTCAGCAAATAGTTGAAAGAAAAAAAATCTCTTGATTGGAACCCCTGTACAACTTTTCCAGTGGCTTATTTGGTATCCAGTGCATTTAGTCATTATATGGGCAGTGACTAAGTTGCTTCAACATAGGGACCTACTCTTAGAAGTTTTTCCAGGGGGCGCTAAGTAACATCAGCCACATTAGTTTAAAATTTTCAGAATCTGTATCATTGACTGTACCTACTTGGTTTAACCATTCCTGTACTGAATATGTCGTCTCTATTTCTTTACTTCCAGAGGTCTTACACTTATATGCACCCCTTTGTTTAGTACAGTAATCCTCTTAATGATAAGGTTAATAGGTAAGACATTGTTTCTTGGTTTGAAAAATGATACTTTCAGTTGAATAAATGAAAGTATATCTGAGATAACTGGAAGGATAGAGCAGGTAAATCCTTTCCAAGATGTAAACAAACTGAAAACTGTTTTACAATGAATCAACTCGGAAAAGGGTTAATTTACATTACAGGGTATATGTACACACACTTACATACATGTTAAGAAAAATGAGCAAAATATGACACAATCTTGATATTGCACTCTTTAGGTTTTTTTCTTTTTTGGGAGGAGGAGTACCAGGAATCAAATCACAACCTTGCACTTGCCAGAAAGGCGCTTATGCCACTGAGTTAAACCATGACACAATCTTGAAATAACCTATTAATGTGAAAAAAGTATCAGTACTGACACATGTCTATGGAAAGTGGGTTTTTCATTTACTATTTCTGACTGTGTATCTTAGAATAGTAAGTATATTAGCTTTATTTTCAAATTCATTCTATGAAACTACTATATATATTTCCCCTAACTTCTCTATTACAACATGTGTCAAGTACAATTTAGGGGTAAACGTAAGAGTTTATCCTCAGCTCCAGAGTACTATTTCAGGGAGAAAGCTTGAAAAGAACAAAGTACATGTATCTGTGAGCCACCAGGATAACTTGGGCTATTAACATGGAAATGGTTGTTTTAGAACTTGACAGAAATAAACTTATGTGGAAATTTTGAGATATTTACTTGTATTGCTTTCTTGACATTTTCTTAGATGCCCCAATAGTACTCTCAGATAGTGAAGAAGAAGAAATGATCATTTTAGAACCGGACAAGAACCCAAAGAAAATAAGGTAACAAATTCCTGATTTATTTCAAATACACACACTTAAGACTTGAGAGATTTGCCCTGTGGTTTTATTCTCTTTTTATTCTCCCATCTACAAAGACATCCCTTTTAAACTATATATTTAAGTATTCTTTCTCTGGCTTTTTCACTGATTCACAAAAATTAGTGAAATGTTAATTTACTTTATTCACAGAACACAGACCACCAGTGCAAAACAAGAAAAAGCACCAAGTAAAAAGGCAATAAAAAAGAGAAAAAAGAAGAGAGCTACTAACTAAAGCTAACATAGTTGTATGTTTGTAAATATATATATATAACTATTAAAAGGATATTTATTCAATGTTAATGACTGGATACTTTTTATTTACAAGTCCATTAAGGTAATTTTTTGGGAAATTTTAAATGTTATGCTTTAAAATGAAACTTCTGGAAGATTTTTTGTCTATTTTCACAAAGCTTTCAAACCCACCTATGACTTCAAAACCTTAATGGGTTTTAAATATCCCATTGTACAATACATCAAGTTAGCTTTTCTAAGGGAATACAAAGTCATAATTTCATCACAAAGTAAAAGTAACTTTGACTTACAGAAATCAAGATTTCCAAATGTATTTATTAATTCTTGCCCTGATAGTTGGCATCATTAATACTTTAACCAGTTAAAATTAGCCAAATATCTAAGGTAGATTCATGTACAAAAGATATACAAATTAAAACCATTTAAAAAGGAATAGATACCATAATTTGTCCTTGGCCATAACTTCTATATTCAGAAATGATTGTGAAATTAAAACCTAAAGTAAAAACTGTACACCATTTAACTCCGAGTGATTAAACAAGGGCAGTCTTTCACTGTCACACATTTAGTGTCTCTGGGGGGTTGAGGAGGGAAACACCATGATACCTATAAGAAGGGGAAAAAAAATCCATTTTTAGTTAACATTCTTGGGGTGAAGGAGTTCCTAGAATAGTAGCACATGTACCAGAACTACAAAATGTTAATTCTGTCCCATTAGGTTGTAGCATCATTGCAGATCCTAAAACATGCATGCAGTCTCCCTAACCCCACCACACACAAGGCAAAAAGAAAAAAACAAGTTAACCAGAACCTTCTCCCAATACATGACCTATTAAGAAAACAGCTCCTTAGGAGGCTGCAGATTATTAGTGTATCCTTTAATACAACATCAGAGGGGTTTTTTTTTTTTTTTTTTTTTTTTTTTTTTTAATTTTTTTTGGGACAGGGTCTCACTGTGCAGTTCAGGCTGGCCTTGAACTCACTTTGTAGCCCCGGCTGGTCTCAAACTTGGAATGATCCTCCTGCCTCAGCCTCACGAGACCTGGGATTACAGGTCTGCGCCATCATACCCAGCTACAATGTCAAAGTTTCTGAAGCATATCCTGGAAGAACAATTATTTGCATTATGTAGTCAAGTCTTACTTGGAATTTTTGTACTTTTCTCTGATTGACTGTTGTGCATGCTGTGGTGCTCTGAGGTAGGTCTGGTGAAGGTCCATGAGACAAGGCTTCAGGCTTTCCAGAGTATATCCAGTCTTTCGAACTAATGATTCAGGCTACAAAGAAAAGAGTAAGAACTGAGTTTTGTGGTCAGTAACAACAAACTACAGTAGACACAATGAATTAATTAATAGCTGGTTCAAGTTAAGTCTCATCACAAATCTAATGTCTATTAGACAACTGGCAAATTTCATTTTCTAGACTTTTTTTTTTTTTTTAATCGGTACTGGGGATCGAACTCACGACTACACACTTGCACGGCAGGTGCTTATGCCGCTGAGCTAAATCCCCAGCCCCTAAATTTCATTTTCTGAGGCCACTATTCCCTCTTTTGTGCTGACTTTGATCCACTTTTACTGCTTTCCCTGCCAGCAAGTCAAATAGGGCAAATTCTTTAGTTGTAACAGCTAAACTTTCAGGTGCTGACTCAATAGGTAAGATATCCCAAACATTACATTTGAGCAGATTTTGCAAGTAAGATCCATACAGCCATCCACTGTATGGGACAATTACTGAACTTCTCTGGTACCAGCATTTAGTCATAAATTTGATGTGAAGACAGTGTAATACATACCCAGCTTTGGCCTGTGACTGTGTAGAGTGCTAAATGAAACGCTGCTCCAGCAATAACTGATGGCAGATACTTTAGGTATGGGTCAGCATCTATCAAACTTAATTCTCCCAAAAACTGCAATGAAAAACAGAATCACAAGAGAATGTAAATCTCAAACCCTTGCCTTCTGATAGTTTTTTTTGTATCTTTTATTATAGGCTATGGCAACCCTGGACAAAATATAGTCTCATCTTTTAAACATACGTACAATAGCACTGTAATGCTTTTCTCCAGTCTCCTGTATTTGCCCTCTTTTAAAAAAACTATCTTCTCCCAAAACTTTATCCTGAAACCATTCCTCTCAGCACTTTACCAATATGATCATCTCTTAGTATCTGCAGGGAAACCTGTCAAGGAACCCTCACTCCACTCACAGACTCTAAAATCAGTACACATCAAGTCCCCTATGTGGAAGTACTGTTTGCATATAACATCTTCCTGTATACCTTAAATCAAGATAACTTATAATACCTAATAAACATAAATGCTTTATTTAGAGAGTAACAACCAGGAAATCTATACATGTTCAGTATAGATGCAAGTACTTTACCTAAGTATTTCCAACCTGTGGTTTGCTGAGTCCATATATAGAACACAGAGACATAGAGAGCCAACTTGCTGGCTTTCATCAGTGATAGGCTTTTTCCCCATAGCACAACACTCATTTGTCCTAGATTACTGAATCTCTTGAGCAAAACTATACTAATGAAACAAGAGCTTGCGCCTAATTATTACTTAAGAATCTCCGACAAAATGAAAAAAACTTACCATTGCTAAACTTTCAACTTTACAGTTTGCAGGCTGCTGATGCAGAAAATACTGGGTAAGAAACTGATTTATTGTTGGTGCAGCTAAGTCAAAAGCAAGGACTTTCAAAACTAGATGTTCCATTCTCAGAACTTGTTTCTTCGTGTAAGTATCATCTGTAATGTACACAAATTCTGCTACTTCTGGGGGATATATTTCTTCAAACTTTCTATAATGAAAAAAAGTTTTAAACAGTAAGTCCTTCTAAAAAGGCAAGCAGCAAGGTTCCTTATCCAAATTCTGAAATCATATTAGCAGATACATAAATGATTCGGAAATCAGTGAGAGGCCTTTCCAAGGTGAGAACAATTCAATTTCACACATGGCTTGAAATTTAGGAAATATAAGTCTAAGAATATTAAACATTTCATGTCCCTCTTAAATCTGTTTCTTGTCCCAATGGGGAGAATATACTGCTTATGTGCCAGATAGCACTTAAATGTAGCCAGTCTCACTGTTCAAAGTACCCTAAAATCTAGATCTCAGAAAAATTAATGTTCTGGATTAGAAAACAATGTCATCGGTTGGGTATGGTGGTACATGCCTGTAATCCTAGCACTTTTGAGGCTGAGACAGCAGAAATATTCCAAGTTCGAGACCAGCCTATGCTACCAAGTAAGCGCAAGGCCAGCCTGAACTACTGCATAGCAAGGCCTTGGCCCTGTCTCAAAAAGACAAGGAGGAGGAAAGGGAAAAAATAAAAGGAAAACAATGTCATCTTTTTTCTTTTTTTTCAGCTTTTGCCACACATCCCTGAATTAGCAACTGTGCCTTGTGATTCTGCTGCTTCTGGGAGGTGTCTTTCTGTGTAGTGTATTAAAATGGTACGGGTTTTCAAAGGCATTTTTTTTTCCTATAGGGAAGAATAGTCATGAATCCAATAAATCAAGCTGGACTTACGAGGCTAGCAGCATAGCAGCAGTGCCCACAAGCTGAAGCTTGCCTCTCAGCACTGACATTGAAGAAAGGAACCTGTCAATGTAGTTCACAGCCAAATGCAGGGTCTCATTCTGCAGTTTATATTCCTCTCCCACTTCAACCAACCAGTCCACGAGGATAGCCCTCATACTGTTAGTGATGTCTGGCTGTTTCTTCATGTAACCCACCTTAGGTTTACATTTAACCTAGTGAGAAAAGTTTAGGAGTGTTAAAATGGTAATTAGATGATTTTACCATTAACCAGATGCTACCATGAACAAATACAGCATTACGAGTAATTCGCTAATAACTTAAAAACTTAAACATTACAGACAGGCATGATGGCACGTGCCTATAATCCCAGTACTCTAGGAGGCTGAACCAAGAGAATTCCAAAGTTCAAGCACACCCTGGGCTGGGGATATAGCTCAGTGCAAAGCCTTCATGTCATCCCTGGTACCCCAGAAATAAACATTTAAATTATAAACTGGGATCAAGAGAACCTTTACCTCCATTTCCCTAAGGTATATGTGAATATCCTCATGGTAGTCTGGTACTTCATTAACACTCACTGGCTTTTCCTCTTCTAATACAATCGACATGTCCATAGTATGTTGCGAATCTGGGATAGTTCAAAAGTTATGGTTGAATAAACTTTCAATTTTTCTATTTGACAAATTATCTGCGCTTGTAAGGAATCTAACATTACCAATGCATTTATTTATTTCATCCATGGTATGACTTCTCATGGCAAAGTGCATACAATATTTGACTTGGGTCTTAATTAAAATCGACTAACGAGAGGTGGAGTATTACAAGAGCAGGTGGCACAGTGGTTTTATTAGGGCCAAAAATTTAGAATCCAAGTTTTTGACCGTATCTAAGGTTTGCAGACCTAAGAGATTGCAGACCTCATAGTATGACACATGCAGTTAGATAGTAACTAGAATCAGGTTAACAGTTTCTAGTTACAAGTGTTAATAGACTAGGGGTGTGGCTCAGTGGTAGGGTACTTCGCCACCATGAATGAGGCCCTAGGTTCAATCCCCAGCACAAAAATAAATCAAATGAAAATTGTCTGACAAAATTTGAATAAATACAAATTATTTCCAAAGATCTTTTTGCCCCAACCCACCAGCCAATCAGTGGAACTAAAATCCATGGGACTGGATTCAGTGAGCTATCCTGTGCCTCAACAGTTGTATGGCAAAGAAACAGCACAAATTACCCAGATCTGTCTTCAGCAGCTACAAATGAGGGCAAATGACATCTGGCTTTCAGACCAGTCTCACTTTCTGGTATCACACGATCCACTCAAACCAGTTTTACAGAGAGGTTGGTTTTCACAGTATGTAAAACTTCATCCACTACTACTCCTCTTTGAAGTGGAGGTGAAGCCAGTCTTATGAACACCAGGAAACATTTGTGGGACAGATTAAACATTCAAGATCTAATCAAATTAGTCCTGGAAGGAGTGCCAGATTAGGATTTGGTGCTTTTGTAGGTCACTAGGTCAAGTATTAGCAGTGACATCTGAAATAAATTACACCCATCCTAAGCCCATTAAGAGTAAAACTATACTGTTACAATGATCAGGCAAAGCAATGTCTTAACATGCAAAATATTAATCTAATCAAATAATTATAACTTGATAAAGGCTTTCCTTAAGACTTACCAAAACTACCATCCATTGGATAATCAAGAGGTACCAGTGGTTTTCTTGGTCCGGGTAAAGCAACAGCTGTATTAAAAGCCAGGACATCCTCGCACTCTGGTTTTTTAAATTCAGTGGGCCTCTCCTGAGTGTTCTCTTCTGCTTCATCCACGTGAATGGTGAATGCAGGCTGTTTACTGCTTGCTTTCCAAGGTGGTAAAGCAGCAACGTTCTCATCGTTGACAGGAAGATCTTTAAGAGGTGCAACCTAAAGGAAAATTACTTACTGGCTTTCAACTTATTAAATGCAGTTTGCCTTCTTCCCTTTAAGGGTCCAAGCCTTGCTTTTATTCCCAAATACATTTATCAGGAAAGTTAAACCTTCTGAGAGGTAACAAACTCCAGTAATAGTTTTCAGTAATCAAGTAGATGTTTCAATTTGCCACAGACTTCCTACAAAGACTAAACAGAGCTAGTTGGAATTATAAACTAATTAAGGATGGGTGTCAAAAACTAGGTAAGTTGAGGAAAAGCCATAGGGAAAAAATATTGTTTCACCACTTTCGCCCCAGGGTGGAGCAACAGAGCAAATCTGGCTAAAATGGCGGAATTTGCCAAAAAGCGAAGTATTTTTCATGTTTTTTCAAGTAGAGGTAATCTCTTAAACAGATAGAAGCGAGCCAGGTCCTGGGGACAGTGTTTGGCGTTTCAAAGTGGAGGGAAAGGCATAGCGCACAGATGCCAATACATGACTCACGATTTAAGACCTTGACCCCATTATGTATATAGAAAGATGCTTTCGACGCAGAGCCGATTGGTAGCACAAGCACAGTATTCGTAGCGATTGTAATGCTAAGCATAATGGAAGAAAGCCGTAGCCTACAAACTTCAAAATCAGGGACCGAGTGGGCTCTTATAAAACAACCCAGAGAACGTCTCCTAGCCACTCTTGCCTGCCTACCTAGCCCATGCCCAACTCCCGTGCATGCCACCCTCCTATAACCGAGTCGCATCCACTCACCCGCCGCGTCTTGAGCCTCTGCTGCGGCGCAGAACACCGTGAGTTCCCGGCCTTTAGCACCGTCACCCCGGCGTGGGGCCGCGGCTGTTGGGCGGGCGCCGCCTTCTCCGGGTTGATGTTTTCTTGGTCCTCCTGGTGCAGTGTTAGCAGCCCCGAGTCCGCCTCGCGGGCCGCAGGCTTCAGCGAGGAGCTGCCCAACATCGCTGCTCCCGGGGGCGGGCGGCGGGATCAGCTCACCGCGCCAAGCAGCGTGCACTCCGCCTCGCGACTGATCACGTCGACCTCGCCGAGGAACGCTCCAGTCCGCGGCGCCACCACACACTGAGCCAGCCTGCCCGCTGCCCGCTCACCCAGCTCGAGCCCGTGCTGGGTCGAGGTGGTCCCCAGGTACAGAGGTAGGGACAGACCAGCGAGGAGGACCAAAGGAACCCCGAGAAGTAGCGAGCAGCCCGCCGGTGCCGCGGCTGTTCTTGCAGTTCAAGTAGCCCGCGACTATTGAAATGGGCCAATGAGAACCGTCGCAGCCCTTGACGTCACTGGTGCGACAGGGTCGCGGGCCAGGGAAGGCGGCAGTATAGGGATCTGAGCCTGGGCGGGAGGAAAAACGCCTGCGCCTGGGGAAGGGCAGGGGAGGCGGAGTCTAGCGCCGCGCGTCTTTAAATTGAGCTACTGGGCGGGCCCGCGGCTCAAAGCAGGAGTTGCTGCTCACCCTTTTAGGACAAATATAATTGAACTTCAGCAACTGTTAGTGGGCCGGCTCACTGTTAGTCCAGACAGGCTGACCGACGCATTTCCCGGAGTCTAAAAGTTGAGAGGCCACTAGCTGGGAGTATCTACACGGCTATGGCTGTTAGTATTCCATGGGGTACATAAATCATTTGATGTGCTGCTCACACAAGCAAGTGGCAGATTATCGAAGATAAGTGTCTGACTATTCAGGTGTGCATATTGTGTATGTGTTGATTTAGAGGACTGAACACAGGGTCTGCGCATGCTAAGCTCAGGCTACCATTCAGTCCCCGCCCCCCCCCCAACTTAAATGCAATCAGTTTTGGCAAAAATGCCACCTTGCCCTACCATCTGTAATACAAAGAAATTCAAAGAATCAGACATTTTTTCTCTTTAATTCCCTAAAGTAGAGCCATCAAAAATCACACAGTGAAGTCCTAGTGACCCAGATAGAGTTCTTTTTAATGTTCCATTTAGAAAGGAAGGTTAAGTAAAAATGGGGGTTCAAATCCCCACCACTTCCCCTTAAATACAGTAAAAACAGCTTTTATTAAAATAAAATTTAAACATGTGCCTTACATTTTTTACATTTAATATTCAAGGATTGCACATAATTAAGAATCAGTTTTCTGAAAAATGTCTACATTTACCCTTCTTTGTGTGTGTGTGTGGTTTTTTTGGGGGAGTATCTCATTATGAAGTTCAGACTGGCCTTGAACTCACTATGTAGCCTTGATTGGCCTTGAACTCAAAGTGATCTTCCTGCTTCAACCTCCTAGTGTTGGGATTAGAGGTGTGCACCAACACACCTGGCTCCTTTACCCTTCTTGAAAACACAGTAAATAGCTCATTTTCCATTGTCTTTATGACATCTAAAAATCTTTAAATACAATATTCTCCTGAAATAAATATGAATTAAGATTAAGGAACAAAATTTCTGTACTTTGAAAGTCATACTTTTCCTTCAAAAATAGTAACAAGGAAATTAGTGCATGAAAAATCTTAGCCCCTGTCACTCACTTGTATGCTTCTATGGGCCCATTGGTTGGGCAAATCAAGTTAACAATCCCTTTTCACTGGCAAGAGCTTCTTATTCCTTTGGTCATATTTTACAGCACTGAGCCAAGCAGCAGGGTCATCAAATGTTACCAAGCAAGAGAGAAATCAGCTGCAGATAAATTCCAACTCCTAGAAAAAAAATGGTAGATTATTTCTACTGGTTGTAATACACAGGAATCATGACACAAACCAGGTACCAGAACATGGGTTCTAGTACTGCTTTATAGTTTCTAGCATGTTCTCTTAACTACTTAACTACATAGAGAATCCATTTCCTATATTGTTTGACAAAGTTATAAAACTTTATGGAGTTTTGAAGATTAAGGTGTTATATAGAAATAAAAACTGTGAAGCCTGTAGTTTACACATGTATTGCTGTATATTAAAAATTTTTTATTTTCAAAACATTTCTCAATTTAAAACATCTACTTGCCAGAAAATTCATTAATATCTCTTTATAACCATTCAACTTGTTTTAAAAATATTTTGTTTTATTTGCCAAAAGAAATAGAAGTTTTACATTAAAAAGTCATATTTAAAATATTTTTAGATATTAAAAATCAGCTCCTGATTCTGCTTTAGCATTTTTTGATAAGCATACCACTATTTTGAGATTTTACCTTATTTACCTTCATGCTGCATCAAAGAAAGCAATCAATGCATTTTGGTCATAACTGTCCAGAATCTCCAGTAGAAGAGGTACTTTGGTTTTTACATTGGTGCCTTTGAATTTAAATTTATCTATGAAAAGATCAGTGATCATGCCTACAAAGAAAAATGTTCTTTAATGAAATAGTGACTGCTTACTAATATATTTCTAAACACCTGAAATTCCATTACTTACTATACACAAATCTAAAAGGGTTGATAATTTTCAAAATATTTATGGGGTGAGGTTAAGGCAAATTTCAAAATATAAATATTTGAGCTGGGCATGGTGGCACAGGCAGCAATCCTAGCACTTGGAAGGCTGAGGCAAGAGGATTATTGCAAATTTGAGATCAGTCTGAGCTAAAAGTGAGCTCAAGCCAGCCTGACCTGCATAGCAAGACCTTGTCTCAAAAAGGTAAAAAAAAAAAAACCCTCCCAAAAAACAAAGAAATATTTATCTAATAGTCATCATCTTCTTCCTCCCTCTTCTTCCTTCCCCCACCCCCTCCTCCTCCTTCTTCTTCAAGGCAGGGTCTCACTCTGTAGTTTAGGCTGGCTTTGAACTCACCATGTAGCAAGGGCTGGCCTGGAACCTGTGGAAAGCCTCCTGTTTCGGCACCCCCTAGCCCCTGCCCCGAGTGCTGGGATTACCAGAGTGCATCACCACACCCTGCTCTAATAATCCTTTAACAACTGTTTAATAAATTAATTCAGACAATCAACAGTTGGCCATTTTTGAATAGCTATTGATATATATGTGACATTTTTCCAACCAATCAGATTCTGTTCTTAGCAGTTTTGTCCAAACTAAAATATTCCATCCATATGATCATTCTTGGGATATGACTTGAAGGCCAAGTCAGGATTTGAAAGTCCTGACTTCAAGGATCTGGCAAATTATTTTACTTTTGTATTTTTCCAGATGTAAATGGGAAAAGTTCAAGCTATCAATCCTTTATAAAAAAAACCCTTAGTGCAAAATGCATTGCAGAATTTTTCATATTTTAGAAAGAGAATAAAAGGAAAGTATGGTACGGTAGTAACTCAAGGGAACTGTGTTTCATTCGCTGGTAATAAAACAGCAATATTTTTGTAACAAAACATATGGATGAACATTTACACTAAATCAAATTTAAAAGATCAGAAATAATCTGTCAATTTAAGTCAAATTTGTCATTAAATTATAAATAGTAAGTCAGATTTTGCTGCCAAATGATGTAGAAATAAAGCTTTCTGGATAGATGTTTGAAATTACTGAGAAGAGATGGCAAGTCTGTACCAGCCTCCATCTAGGTTATGAGAAAGATAAAAGGGGTCTTGTGCTTGCTACTCAGGAAGCATTAAGATATTGCACAATGTTACAGTTTGTGAGCAAATCTCTGCATATATAATAAGAAATTCAGCAGACAGACTGAAGGATAAGAATGGATTGATAACATCAATGGAAACTGGGTGTTGTCGCACAGCCCTATATTCCCAGCACTCCATAAGGCAAAAGCAGGAGGATAGCAAGTTCGAGCTCAGCCTGGGTAGTTTAATGAATTGGTTAGACCCTGTCTCAAAAAAAGAAAAAGGAAAAACAGGGGAATGGATGCTGGAGAAGGGTATGGCTCAGTGCAAAGCCTCTGAGTTCAATTCTCAGGACTGAAAAAAAATCAGTTGCCTGCGGACGGATGAGCGTATGTAGAAAGCACGCATTCTGAAGTGCGGAGTCTCCAGTGCAAGGTTTGCATCTAACTAGGTACAGGGCAACGAATTCTGTAGTCTCCTACTTCATTTAAAGATATAAAACATGAAGACATGAAGACAATACCACATCACCTACCTTGCAGAGCTGTTTGCCCTAAGAGTTAAATATTTCATCTGCTTATTACGATGGAATTAACAGTGTGCTGCTAACAAGCCTTTTCTTGGCTGGGTGTGGTGGCCCACTCCTATAATCCTAGCTATTAGGAAAATGTTTTTCCCAAACTGTTGCTCTTTCCCTCCCTCTGTCCTTTTCCTCACCTCGTTCCATATCATCTGTAAAACACTCAGTCTACTACCACCAAAGCCAGACAAGTTTTAAACTGTAAATGGACATAGATGCAAACATCCCTTATTAAATTTTGACTAAAAGTATTAAATACTGCATTTTTGTATTTCATAATAGCAGTATTACCTGAAAATTTGTTTAGCCAGGTGTGGTGGCTAATAATCCCAGCACTCAGTAGGCTGAGGCAGGAGAACTGTGGTGAGCTTGAGACCACCTTGGGCTACCAAAGTGAGTTCAAGGAAAGCCTGCACTGCACAGTCGACCCTCCCTCAAAAAAAAAAAAAAAACAAAAAAACAAAAAAAAAACCATTCCTTTAAAGTGTGTCTAAATGTTGCTTTGTTTTGAGGTAAGGTCTTCTCTGTAGCCTAAACCTGAATCATGATTCTCCTCCCACAGCCTCTGTGATGCTGGGATTACAGTGTGAGGCATGATGCCCAGCAAACATAAATTCTCAATACTACATGAATTTTATTCACTTTATGCCATATTTTTTCACATATTTAAATTCACCACAGTATATAATTTCACTTCTTAAATTTTACTAGCATTTTATCAAATAAAAACACTAAATTTTAAAACTAGCTTGACAGAACAAAAAATAAATTCCATGCAATAAGTTGGCTGCCACTAGTTCATGACTAATGGAATTTCTGTCCATAGGACTAACTTTTTCACATGATCCCTAACAGCTAGCTGAAAAGAAATATAGCGAGATATTTTAGAACAGTCTACTAACCATAGAGTCTTTCAAGATGTGCAGGCTGCTTTTTGTATTCTTCCTGTAGGTGATCTGCCTCTTCTAGAATACTACGATATTCGGGTATCAGAAAGCTTGTATTTCCCTCATGAACCTGCAACTCCTTTTGAAAATTAAAAACAAGAACAAAAACCAGAAGTACCTTAATGTTCACAATTTAATACAATGTAACATAAAAGTATAATTTTAGAAATCTTATTACTTAAAATAATAATTATGAGTCCATGACACATAAACTTACTTTTAAAGCATCAATTAATTGCACTTTTTTAGCCAAAAGCAACTGGTATTCCAGCTTTGGGTGGATTAGTTTTAAAGTGTGTTTGACTGACACTTCATTTATCTCTAAAAGACATTGGTCAGGCACAATTAGATAAATCAGTTCCATCAGAAACATTATTAACAACAATAACTACAAAAATAATGAAGAATGATTAATTTTTCATACCATATGATATGTTGAGGTTAATTTTCCTTTTTGTAGCTTCTTTAGAAAGCACATCTTTTAAGATAGATATTGTAGAAATGTTGTCAGATTTAAAAACTCCTTCTCCTTTTCTATAAAATTAATGTATTTTAAAAGACAAGCTGTAGAAGGAATTATACATATAAATACATATTTTATGACTAGTACTCGGTGTTTAGAACTTACTTGATTTTAAGTGTCTTTGTGTATCATTAATATAAAGCACACTTAAATGTGTAATCATTTACTACTCTATTAAAATCAGCTTTTAACATACTGATAAAACTAAAGAT